CAGTAGCAATGGGCTCGACTGTACAGGACCAAGAAATACTTCGTTCTGTTTCGCATAGTGTCGCTCACTATGAGTAGGAACCGCTGTGAGTACGGCACCTAACGAGGACAATTCCATAGTTACATGACCTCAGACAAGTCACTCTTGGAGCCTCAGTTTGTCTGTCTAAACAGGTTTTCTGTGAGGGCTGAAAGGAAGAGTCTGCACATTATTGGCTATTACTAGACAGCATTCACAGTTCTGAGGTATTTGTGATCTTAGTCCTTTCATGAAAGATGAAGGGAGGGTCTTTGAACTCACCCTTGCCCTGTTCTTCTCTAAACTCACCTCTTCTCATTTCCTTATTTGACTCCCCCCATTTAAAAATTCCTCAAATGCAACAAGCGCTGCTCTGAACCCATGCCTAACCTAGTCTGTTTCCTTTGTCCAGGACATTCGTTTTCAACTGAGGGCAGTTTTGCTCCCAGGGGACATTTAGCAATGTCTGGGGACATTTGTGGCAGCTGAGTTAAGCATTGGGCTACTAACCACAAGGTCAGAGGTTCAAACCCACCAGCTGATCCACGGGAGAAAGATGAGGCTGTCCGCCCTCAGAACCCTTAAGGAGCAGTTGCACCCTGTCGGAGTTGGAATTGGCTCAGGGGCAGGAGGTTGTTTGGGGTTATAATGGTGGTGCTGAGGATACTACTGACATCTAGTGGTTGGAGGCCAGGGATGTGGCTGAGCACCCTGCAATACACAGGACAGCTTTCCAATGCCATTGGGCTGATTCAGAGGCCTCTTTGAGCCCAGATCATGCCCCTTCTAAATCCCTTACTCACAGTATCTTCCTCTTCTCTGTCCTTTTCATACCTCAAAGGATGCCTCTTAATTCAATTTGTCCCACTGTATGGATTCTGCTCATTAACTGCCTGAACATTGCCCAGCACATTAGTTGCTCAGTTAAGATTTGTTGACTGACTGCCTGAATAAACAGACCACAGCAAGTGAATGAAAATCTACCTGGGATGCATTACAGGGTGGGGAACGTCTAAGGTCCTCAAAGTCATTTGGTCTGGCCCAGCCATGGCAATTGTAGTTTTAGCCATCACTAAGTGCCGCTGAGTTGATTCCAACCCACAGCAGCCCTGTACTGGGTTTCTGAAGAGCGGCTGGTGGATTTGAACTGCCGACCTTTTGGTTCAAAGCAACCTTACAGTCTAGTGCATTATCCTGCAGTGCCACACCAGGACTCCAGTCATCACATTGCTGTTGTTGTTAAGTGCCACTGACTCAGTTCTGACACAGAGCAACCCTGTATAGGGTTTCGGAGGAGCAATTGGTGAGCTTGAACTGCTAACCTTGCAGTTAAAATCGACTTCGTGGTACAGCGCGTTAACCCACAGTGCCACACCAAGACGTTGTTGTTAAGTGCTGTCAAGTCCATTTCAACCCATAGCGACTCTATATAGGGTTTCCAAGGAGCGGCTGGTGAGCTTGAACTACAGACCTTGCAGTTCAAATGACTTTGCAGTCTGACACATTAGCCCACAGCGCCACACCAGGACTTCACCAAGACATTAGGGGTGAGTTAATGAAACATACAGGCTTACTGTTAAGTTGAGAATTTTGTATGGCCCACAAATGATGTTTTAAATTTTGGCAGAAAAAAGGTCCCTCACCCGGCTTTAAAATCACCCCTTTAATCCATGCATCCCTGTGAACAAATGGAAACAGGTCATGTGTCCAGATTCCTATTGTCTTCTCACACTCAAGGGGGCCGGGTGCATCATATCCAAACAGACCAGAGATCGTGTCTTGTCCCCAGCCCCTACAGGCCATGGGGTTTCCTGTAAGGTGATGGAAGGAAGCCATCAAGCCCAGGACTGAAGAAAGACATTAGGGACCACACTGAGAAGGACATGGAAGAAGACACTTTCAGCTTGATAAAGATGCCTCCCATGCCTGTAACTTATTTGATCTTGATTTAATACTCTACTCTTGGAAATATGTAACCCAGATACTTGATGACGTAAACAGTGATTGTTAATCAAAATCCCAAAAAAGACCAGGCTGACTGGCTGAACAGTGGAACCCCAGAGACCAGGTCCTCTGTCACTTTTCAAGTCTGGAACAGAATTCACCCCCATGGCTCGATTTTCAGCCAAACAATAGACAGGTCTAAATAGGGAGCAGTAACACTAGGGAGGCAGGGAGGTGTGTACTTTTTACAATAATCAGTCATTTGAGATGAAAAGGGCAGCATTTGCCCAAGGACAAAGTTCAGATGGGTTAGGACAGAGAGAAAAGGAAACAGGGAATCAGGGAGGAAGTGGGATGAGTGATGTTGCATTGTGGGTGATACAATGAATGAGATGAAACAAACTGTGTGAGAATTGTTGAATGGAAACCTGATTTGCTCTTTAAATCTCCACCCAATTCACAATAAGAAGAAAGACTGTTAAATTAGACAATGAACAAGGCAGAACAAGGAAAATGGATGCATTCAAATTGTATTACTGGCAAAGCACAATGGAGATAGAAGGGACTGTCAGAACACCGAACAAATCAATCCTGGAAGAAGAATGCCAGAATGTTCCCTGGACGGTGAGACCTTGTCTCACACATCATCAACAGGGACCAATTACTGAAGAAGGATATCATGGTTGGGAGAGGCTCAGCAAAATTGAGGGAGATCTTCAGTGACATGGACTGACCAGTGGGCTCAATCCTAACAATTCTGAGGATGCCACAGGACCAGGTAACATTTCATTCTGGTATGCATAAGGTTGTTTTGATATGAACAGGAGTCAACCCAAAGGCACCTTACAACAACAAGAAAAATATTACTATTATGTTAAAAGAGAGACTGTATCTTCTAGAGACATATGCAATTAGAGTGCCTTGCATTTGCTTCAAAATAATCCAGGATTAGGAGAAGAGAGTGGGAATCTGGAAAATACAGAATCAGCCATAAATTAATCATCATTGAAACTGGGTGAAGGATATGCGGGGTCGATTATATTGTTTTTGGTACTCTCTGTGTATATTTGAAAATTATTTCTAGTATAAGTTTCCATGTTGTTTACTTATTTATTTATCTTTCTGTTATGCTTGGGTAAAAGTTTCCAGAGCAAATTAGCTTTTCATTCTTGCTGATTACAAGTGTATTACCTTCTCTTGTTTTTATTTTCCTTCCAGGATCTCCAGAGGGGTTTCCTTTGCTTTTGGTCTATTATTAAAAAACAAATCAATGGTTGTGCAAAGGGAGAGAGAGAGACCTTCCTGCTGGCACGTGGGATTACTATGGCTGCTTCTGTTTCTACCATTGCAGGTGGCCGACTCTCCTCTACCACAGGCCCAGAGTGGGCCAGTCTTTAAGTTATGGTGGTGGCAGTGGTGGTTGTGTGCCATGGAGTTGGTTCTGACTCACAGCGACCCTGTACAGGGTTTCTGAGTTCAGAGCAAAAAGCCTCATGTTTCTCCCGTGGAATGGCTGGTAGTTTTGAACTGCTGACCTTGAGGCTAGCAGGCCGACTCGTAACCATGAAGCTACTAATCTGTAGTTTTATGTGAAATCTCCCAATTTTGCTTGTGATTCATTTGTTAATGTGTGATAATGACCAAGCAAACACATTCATGGTTTAAGATGTTTGTGAACCTGCCTAGACTATTTCAACCTAATCTCATAGGTCCCTGGGTGGTACAACTAGTGCTTGACTACTAGCTGAAAGGCTAGCAGTCTGAACAACCACCACCCCGAGACACCTTGGAAGACAGGGCTGGTGAAATGCTTCTGCACACACAGGTCACCAAGAGTCACAAATAACGTCATGGAAACTCACAAGAACAACACATGAAAAAGAGTTATGAGGCCTGTCTTAGAGACTGAGCCACCGCCAACCCAACCTTCCTTCTTCCAGACTTGGCCCCTTCCAATTTAACACCTAAGTGAGACCTTGCTTACTCCTCTGCTCAAAGCATGCCGATGACTGCCATCTTGCTTGGAAGCGAAAACCAGAGTTTAAACTCTCCATGTTCAACTCCAATGACGGCTCTACCCTTCACTTACTCTGTCCCAGCCACACTGACCCCTGCTCTTCCTCTAGTGCAGAAGGCCTGCCCCTGTCTTAGGCCTGGACCACAGTTCACCTCAGCCTCATTTGCTCCTTTACACCTTCTTACATTCTCTGCTTGAATGTCACTTTCATGAGAACCATCCTGGCCACCTCTTAAAACTGCAGCTCCCCTCCACTTCTGTCCTGGGATACCCTAGGCCTTTGCCCTGCGTTGTTTTCTGACACACTCTTGTACGTGTTACATTTGCTGTTTGTCTTCCTGACTTGAGTGGAGGCTCCGGAAGAGTAGGGATTTGGGCCTCTTTTGTGAACCGTTCTATTCTAGACCAAGAGCAGCAACAGCGATTTGGGTCTATGGTAGAATTCTCACTTTCTGTGTGAGAGACCCAGCTTTGATTCCTGGCCAATGTACCCCATTTGGAGCCACTACCCATCTGTCAGTGGAGGCTTGTATGTTGCTACGATGTTGAAAAAGTTTTAGTGGAGCTTCCAGACCAAGACAGACTAGGATGAAAGATCTACTTCTGAAAATCAGCCAATACAAACTCTATGGTTCACAATGATTGGATCTGCAGTCATTCGTGGGAACGACACATAATAGGCAACGTTTTGCTCCATTGCGCACTGGGTCACCATGAGCAGCTAACAATAGTAGAAACAGTAACAGCAACAACATACCCTAGAATGGGGTTGGAGAGTTGTACTCAAGAATCATCTGCCAGGTGAATGAAGGACGGAACACGCATATGTGATTTCCAGGCCTAATCAGAATTCTCTTCTGAGGCTATGTCTAAGTTCCTCCGTGGCATCTAGCTGGGACAGAGACACTCTGTCCAGACAGGAAGCATCCTTCCTTTGCATTCTAGTTGTTACACTATGAGCAGAGTGAGCAAGGGTCCCTGGACACCAGACCAGGCTTCCGGGAGGCACCTGGCACCTTACCTGATGGGGTAGTCGGCTGCGCTGAGGTTGATGAAGAAGTCCCAGGGCCAGTCGGTCATCTCCAGCAGGTCCCGCATGCTCTGCAAGTAGGTGGTCAGGAGACTGGCGCCCCCCCAGATGGTGGTCATTCTCCAGGGAGTGACGCGGACATTGACGTACTGCCTGGTGAACTGGAGCACTTGCCGGTGGAGGTAATTAGAGCGCTTTTCCAGGAGAGAAAGGGGACAGCTGACAACATGGGAAACATAGACTTGCCCCCCTCCTCATCACCCACCTCTGTCCTTTGCCTCTGAACCACAGAGCTGATTCAGTCCTGGGCCATCCCTCTGCTGTTGGAAGCTTGCTACTCTACCCTGGAATATTTGGCCCCACTTCTGAGCTAATGGGCCACTCGGCTCCGGCTGGTGCAGGGGACTCTACAGGTGGTTTGAGGTAAGATAAGAAATAGTGTTGTGTGGAAAGCTGGTGAGTATTTTGGGGCTTGCTGCCCCTCCCCCACAAAATGTTGTCCCTCATCCCCCTCTTCTATGCCAGCTAGAAGCAGATACTTTGGATGCTGAGAAGTGAATAAGTTGATTTGAAACTAATGTGCATTCCTTCTGCTTGTTGACTAAAGACACAATGACATCGTGTCAGTAGATCACTGAAATCTCTGGGACAACACAGACACCAAGGTTTCTATAATAAAGTTTTATTGGAACACAGCCACGGCCACTTGTTTAGTTATTGTCTGTGACCGCTTTCAAGCTACACAGCCAGAGCTGAGTCTTTGCAACAGAACACACATGGCCCATAATGCACAGGGGCCTTTACAGAACAAGTCTGCCACTCTGAGACTGCTATCCCCCAAAGTATGGGAGTGGCAATTACAGGGCAGGAATCAGTCCAGTGAAAAGAGGTACATTCTACAGTATTTATGGAGAAAGCATGATGTCATAGCCAGAAACTTTGAAGCCCCAACACATATGTGCTCTTTCTCTCTGATCCACACACACGCACACACACTTTCTCTTCAAACACACACACATACATATACACATAAGCAAAGACACTCTCTCATACATACACCCACCCTCTCATCCACACACACACACACACACACACACACACAAACACACACACTCTTTCTCTCACACACACATTATTGGTACTGACTCACCCTCACACGCTCTCCCTCAAACACCTTCTCTTTCTCACACAGACATTCACACAGTCTCACTTTCACATCTTTTCTCTTACTCTCATTCTCTCTCTCTTACACATCCTGGTCTTTCATATCCTGTCTCTCACACACACATCCTCTATCTCTCTCTCTTGTCTCTTACACAAGCTCCCTCTTTCTCATTCTCTCTCTCTCTCCCTCACACACACAACAACATGCTCTCTTTCTTTCATATACTTTCACTCTCTCTCACACACACACATACATATTCCTGACAGAGGAAGCTGTTCAGCTATGAACCTTCCTCAAAGGGAGACACTAGGGACATGGAATAGGGTCTCAGGGAGGGACAGGCAGCCCTGTAGAGACAGGCCAGCATGGCATGATTGTAAGGGCTCCTCACCTTGTCCACATGGATGTAGTAGAAGTGGTCTTTGTGGTAGATGGCCTTGAACATGCGTTGCAGCTGCCGAGAGGCGCGGCCATGGACTACCAGGACAAAAGCAATTCTGACCGGGTTGGCTGGCATGTATTCCACTGAGTCCTCATCCCACTGAACGTTCTTGTTGGCTTTACCTGAGGAAAACCCAAGAGACCATAGATGTGATGAGAAGCTGGGTGATCCTTCATGGGTCAGGGAGAAAACGTGATAAGAACGTACATTTTGGCTCAGTACATAGGAATGACAGTCCTTGCTAATTTGTTTTACTGAGCACTGATCTGACCTTGACTTTCATTCTCTCATTTAATCCACATTACAGGCTGGCAAGGTGGTACTCCTATCCCCACGTTCCAAATGAGGAACACAGATGATGAAACTGCACTCAGGGTCACACTGCTCTAAGCAGGGAAGCTGAGATTCAACCCAAATCTCTCTGATTCTGAAGCCTGTGCCCTCAACCACTAGTCCATGCTGTACGACCACACCTAGAACTGGGGAAAAGTTTGTAACAGGTTTGCTTGTTAGTTAATGGGATGCCGTATAGACTAGGAATTGCAGGCACTGAAGCATTGTCAGGGGCACTGCAGGGAAGACTCTGTGTTAAGTGGGAAACTGACACTGGTGATCAATAAAGGTCATATCTTTCATCCACCACCCAGCTATGAATTCACCCACCCCACCTCCAGCCAATTTCAACTACGTAGCCCTCCAAACACCCAGTGTATTATCCAACCAGCCATCTAGCAATGCATCCCCAAGCCTACCATCCCAAAGACCCACCATTCACTCACATATCCATTCAACCACTCATCATCCTTCCTTAAAACCAACCATCCATTCATTCACCCATCCAACCAGCTGTCAACCCACTGGTCCATGCAATATTAAGCTAGCCTATACTGTGGGTCAGCTGCTGTGCTAGGTACCCGAGAAATCAAATATATATTTAAAAAATATTCCTTGCTTCTGAGGAGCTCTCAGCCAATTGGAGGGAAACACAAGGCGGTGTTCAATTGTTTTAGGACAGAAGTCTGTTCAGGTTGTTATTGGAAAGCGAGGGAAAGGGCGAGAGCAAAGAGACTTTAGGCCAAAGCTTCTGAGACCCATTTCCTCAAGTTTCTCAGATGAGTTCTGTGGTCAGTCAATAGCTGCAACCTTGGAACTAATTATCACTAGGGCTCTGGTTGATGACAGACTCC